GTCTCACTGAGCCCTGACCCTGGTCACACACTGAGCCCTGGTCCCGGTCTCACTGAGCCCTGACCCTGGTCACACACTGAGCCCTGGTCCCAGTCTCACTCAGCCCTGGTCCTGGTCACACACTGACCCTTGACCCTGGTCTCACTCTGATCCCTGACCCTGGTCATCTACTGAGTTCTGATCGTAGGAACACACTGAGCTTTGGTCCTGGTCACAGCCTGAGCCCTCATCCTGCCCCAGTCCCACACTGAGTGCCTACCCTGTCCACAGGCTGAGCCCTGAGCCAGGCCCCATGAGTTGGTCAGAGCAGAGGAATGATTTGGTTATCCAGGTGCACAAGCTGAGCCCTGGAGTCACGGAGACTCGGCCTTGATGCCCACAGCTGGCCAGCTGCCCCCCTGGGCCGAGGAGCAGCAGGCAGGGGCAGGACGGCCCCTGCAGGGCCCGGGCCTGGGCAGACTGGGGCGGGGAGCGGGGGGCTGGGCACCCGGGTGGGGCTCCGGGCAGAAGTGGCTTCAGGGAGGGGCAGCCCCAGGGAAGGCAAAGCCTGAGTGGGCGCCTCCGTGGGGTAGACAGGCCCCGCCCCAACGGGGCCCCTCCGCAAGCCACGGTCTCCTGGTCTGTAAGGTGGGGGAGACTGGGGTCCCCGTGTTTCAGAACCTGTTCAAATGTGAGGAGGAAGCGTGTGCTGTTTGTGACAGCGCCCTGGGGTCCGGGGAAGACGCCCCCCCCCCCGCAAGTACACACCTCCATGGCTCAGCGAGAAAGAAACACTCCCAGCACCCCCAGGCTGGGCTGGGCAGTCCACGGGCTGGCCGCTTCCCCACCCACAGCGGGGCGGACCTCAGGCTGTGGGGGAGGGGCTGTGGGACCGCCACTGGGCTCAGCCTCCCCTCCCCGCACGGCCTTGGCAGTGCCCGCCTGCTCGCGGCCACGGCTCCCAGCGCCCTCCCCTCCCGCCGGCCGGAGACTTGGCACCAGCCTTCCGGAAAGTGACCGTGGCGGCCAACAACAGCAGCCTCGGCCCGTTCCCACCGGCCTCCCTGGGGCGGTGGGCGGTGGGCGGTGAGCAGGAGGCAGCTGGCCGCCAGCAGGGCCCCTGTCCAGGTGCCCGGGCTGGGCCTGTGCGGGGTCACCGGGATCAGGGGCAGAGGGGCTCAGCGGGGAGGAAGGCGGGGCCACAGCCATGGGCAGGGCCTGGGTGCACCTGCCGGGTCCTAATCCCGCTGCACCTCCTAGCGGGGCTGGCAGGGCTGTCCTCATGGACCACAGGGAAGAGGAGGTGGTTGCCCCCGGGTCCCCAGCCCCGTACCTTTCAGAAACCAGGAGGCGACACCTTGGCCCTTCCTAGGAGAGGTTTGCGGTCACGCACCTGGCTTTTGGGATCCTCACCACCCAGCCAAAATAAAAACGGAGCCGCAGCAGGAAGGAACGGGTTAGACACCAGGAAGAACTTCCTGCTCACCGGAGGGGTATGCCCGGCCTGAAAGGGACATGTGACCAGGCAGGGAAAGTCCCCTGAGGCTTCAAGGGGCCACCAGAATGGGCGCTGGCCTTCCCAGAGCCCCAGCGCCAGCCCTGCCAGAGAACGTCAGAGAGGAGGGAACCAGGCCCAGCCGGAGACAAACCCAGCCCGCTCTGAGAAGCCAGTCTGGGCGGGCTTCACGGAAGAGGTGGCCTGGAAGCCAGAGGTGGAGGGAACTGCGGGCACAGAGGTGGGGGGGGCGAGGCAGCGAGAACAGCCCCCGGGGGAGGGGGCTCCCACAGGTGACCCCAGCCAGAAGTCAGGAGCTGCCGAATCCCTAGCAGAGCCTGGGCACCCCCTGTCCCCCACCCGGCGTGGCACCCCGAGTGCGCCGGCCTGGGCTGCTCGGACACCTCACAGCGACAGAGATCTCATGACCTTCCGCGGGAAGGTGGCGGGTGGGCAGCGGCCCTGCCCCCTGCTCTGGGGGCCTGGGCCCGTGGGCCGAGCAGACACAGGCAGACCCCGCCATTCCGGTCCCACGGGGCCAGCCAAGGCCGGGAAGCCCGGAAATAGAAAGCAGGTCGCCAGGCCCCGCGGGGGACGTGGCCCGTGCTTGACCGGGCGGGGGAGGCACCAGAGACAGGCCTGGGCCCCCGCGGACGGGGCCTGCACCCGGGACATCTTGGACCGAAAGCCTCTGCCCTGGGGCCTGGACACGACGGTGGGGAAACGGGTTCCGGAAGCTTCCAGAGAGAACGCGGGGGCGCCCAGCAGGGCCTGCAGGGTGGGAAGCGCCCCCAGCAGTCACAGGGCACAGGGGAGGAGCTGAGGGCTGAGGGGGACCTGGGGGTGCCACAGAGGCAGCTGAGTGTGGAGGCTGAGCCGGCTCCAGGCCGCGGTCTCCTTATCTCCCCCCTGGTACAGGCTGAGACTCGGAGTGGGGCGGGATCCTGGGAGGGCCAGAGCCCGGGCCGCCTCCTGCAGCAAGCCCTCCCAGATTGGATCTCTGGAGCTCTGGGACTCTCCCTGTCCTCAAATTCCCCCCGCAGGGCCTCCCGGCCTCGGCCAGGTGCACAAGCCTCACCTCCGTGGCAGGGACGGCCCACGCTGTGCCGCGTTGTGCTGGCCACGGGCCAGGCCCCGCAGTGAGGACCCTGACTGTAGCAGGCCCCCTGCCCCGTGCAGCCGGCCTGAGTCGGCGCCCCGCCCCCGGGCCGGCAGGGCCCCTGGCCGGGCCACGCTCTGGTCCCCGCCCCGTTTGGACATCGATGCCTTCTGTGTAAGAACCAAAGATGACCCGAGGTCTTGGGGACCCCCAAGGGGCAAGGGCGAGGAGGGAGCAGGGCGGGGGCCCCAGCGGTCACCTGGGCTGACCCCCCCAGCTGTGGAGCTGAGTGCCACGCACAGGGAGCTGACGGCGCCCCAGGCCCAGCGCTGGCTTTTCTGGACGTTTCCCCAGTGCCGGCGCCAGGGCTGCTGCTGCCTGGGCGGCCCCTCGCCCTGCCCCCCTTGCTCACCAGCGGCCTGCCCACAGCGCCTCATTCTCCCTCCCGAGCCCCCCACCCCAGCCTCTCCATCCCTAGCATCCCCATGCATCTGGTCTGACGGTGGAGGCTGCGCCCCCCTCAGACAGGGAGCAGGGAGCAGCCCCGCCCCTCCACAGCCCTCCGCATCGGCCTTGTCCCTTCGTCCAGCGATGTCGGCCGCCCACGCCCCACCCCCCGGCACCAGGCGCCCAGCATCCAAGTGGGAGAGGGGCCCAGTGGGCACGAAGCCGGAAGCAGGCCCCTGGCCCCTCCTGGGATCTGCCCTGGGCACGCTGACCCCACCACCACCACCACAGCGCTGGCCTCGGCAGGGCGCAGGCAGGTGGGGGTCCTCCCGCCCAGTGGCCCCGGCCCCTGCTCCCCCCAACCCAGCCAATCTGCAGATACGCGGCCAGGGTCCTTGGTCGCCCCGAGACAAGGAGGCAGGAGGGCGGGGGGCTGCAGCCCCAGGCCCCGGGACGGGAGGCAGACCCGGCTGACGGGCCCCTGCCCAGGGCCCGCTGCGGCCGCTGCTGGAGGCGGATGGCTCAGCGTGGGGACTCCAGCGGGGAGCAGCGGGACACACAGGCCCTCTCGCCCCCGGGCCAACAGGCGGGGCCTGGGCCACGAGCCCCTCTGGGGTCAGCAGGCCTCAGGGTCAAGGCCCAGGGCGAGAGACGGGAGCCAGGCTCCCAGGGACACTCCCCTCCCTACCCAGGCTGCTTCCCTATCCCCCCCACCCAGAGCCCCCCAAGCTCTTCCCAAGGCCACTTCTGGGGGCTGCCAAGGGCCCCCCAACCAGGCCCCCGCTCCCAGCAATGCCCGAGGGAGCTGCAGGATGGGCAGCTGACCTCTGACCCCAGCCACGCCTGGCAGAGGTGGCCAGGTGGCCCCTTCCCAGGCCGCCTGGGAGGACTGAGCCCCACCCCGGGCTGTCCCCCACGCCCCAGGGACTCCTCCCGGGACCGTTGGGCAGTGGCCCGAGCTCGGCAAGCAGGAGCCCGAGCCCCCCCAGCCCCTAAACTTCCAACCTCACCCCCTCCCCAGCCTCCGCCCCTACCCCAGCCCCATGGAAACCACACGGAATCCTGCTCCCCTCTCGGCTCCCACAGAGCCAGCGCCGGCCTGGGGACGGGGGCCTGGCTGGTCGGAGGCCCCGCACCCCTCTGGGACAGACACAGCAGGGAGCCCCAGTGGCGAGGCCACCCCCTCCCAGAACAGTGGCTCCGTGTTGACCACAGGATCAAACCCACCACGCGTGTCCACAGGGGCCGCTTACTTCACTGCACACTCCCAGGGCACCACTGCTGTGAACGCTGACGTGCTGGTGCCCCCACCCACGGCCCCCCCTCCCCTGCTCAGCCAAGCTGCCTGCCTGGCTACCCCCCACTTCCAGGAAGCCCTCCTTGACTGCCCCGGGGCACCCCCACTCTCTCCTGAGCTGTGGGGGCCAGAGGCCTCGCCTCCAGCAGAAGCCGTCCTGTGTGTCCAGCGTGGGGTGACCGTAGAAAGAGGAGAGGCGACTCCCGCTGCCGACCTCGGTCCCAGCCGCCGTCCGCCACGGAAACCCTGTCTCACAAGGTCGGGGTGTCGCCGCGGCCAAGGGGGCCCTCTCCACCCCTCCAGGGACAAGCCCCAAGCTCAGGCGGCCCCCACCGGTGTCCCCAACCCCACGGGCGGGCGCACACACGCAGGGCCACTCGTGGCTGCCCAGACACCAGGGGCGCAGACGCTGGGGCCCTGAACAGGGCGCACACAGCCCGCAGCCCAGCCCGCACGCGTGGACGCACCGCACCGCACGCCCGGGGCGCTGCAGCCCCCGCGGGAGCCGCCCACCCGCTCCTGGACGGCGCGGCTGTGGCCCGGCCCCCTCGTGCCTCAGTTTCCCCCTGCGTCTCAGGGGTGCCCGGGTTCCTTCCTCAGGGCCCTGCTCCTGCTCCTCTCGGGGCCCGGCGGGGGCGGGGAGACAGCCCGCCCCGCCCCCACCCCGCCCCCACCCCGCCGCCTTGCCCAAAAGCAGCCCCGCGCGCCGCCTGACGTCAGAGGCGAGGAAGGCGCGGGGCGGCGCGGGCCCCCTCCGGCCCGGCGAAGGCGCGGTGAGTGCCCCCCGCCCCGGGTGCCCTCCGGGGGCTCCGAGCCGCCCGCGGCTGGGGCGGCCTCTCCGGAGCCGGACAGGTGGCGGAGAAGCCGCCCCGGGACCCGGGCAGGGAGCGCGCGCCGGGAGCCGGTCCTGATCCCGCACGCACGGACCCTTAGTGAAGCCCGGGCCGGAGGGAGCTGCGGGCGGCGCCGGCGGGGGCCCCTTCCCCGCGGGCGCCCGGGCCACCCTCTTGTTGCTGGCTATCATGCGTTCGCTCACGCCCTCGCTGGATATCATTCATTCACTCATTCATCCGCTCAGCGGCGCCCGGTGCCCGCAGCCGGGCCTCCGCCCGGGTCAAGGCAGGGGGGGGGGGGGGGGGCAGGCCGGGCCAGGGGAAGGGCTGGGGGCCCCGGCAGGGGCCGGCCGTGCGGGCGAGGAGCAGCACCGTGGCGCGGGGCGGCGGAGCCCCAGGGCCTGCCTGCTGGCCCAGCCCCGGCTCTGGCCGGCCTGGCACTGCCCTGGCCTGGCTCGCCGTGCAGCTGCCCTGTGAGAAGCAGTGGGAACAGGGTCCCGAGAGGGGCGGGCGGGTTGGGAACTGGCCAGCGGCCAGGGTGCCGGGCGGGCAGACACGGAACAGCTGGGCGGCCTCAGGCAGGGCTGGGAGGGGAGGGAGGCTGGACCTGCCCACTTGCCCCCTCTTTTTTCTCAGCATCCGGCCACTGGGGGGCGCTCCTTCCCCCAGGGCTGCCCCTCTGCCCATGGCGTGTGGGGAGACAGGAGGCTTGGGGCCCGCAGAGAATTCTCGTTTTATCCGCTGGGTGACCTGCTGTGACGGGATGGGTGTCCGTGTGCCCGTTTTGCAGATGGAGAAACTGAGGCACAGAGGGGCCTTTCCCAGCTCGTCCATCCGTTGGGCAGCTCTGATGCCTGACCCCTTGTGACGCTGTCGGTGCAGCCCGGGCAGCACAGGCGGCAGAGACGCAGAGAAATCAGGAGCTGTCTGGTGGGGGCAGGTGTACGGGCAGCTCCTCAGGGGGCCGGGGGCCTGGAGGATGCGGGGTGTGGGGGGGGGGTAGCTCCTGGTCCTGATTAGCCCGGCCAGGGCCAGGGCCATGCTCCCGGCCAGCCCCTGCACACAGCTGTCTCCCCACCTCGGGGCCTCGGCACTGGCTGTGCACTTCCCACCGCCCCAACACTGTTCCCTCAGCTCCTGCCCTGCCCCGCCCAGCTGCTTCCAGCCCATCCCCCAGCCCAGCCCAGCCCTGGCCGGCCAGGTCTGATACGCCGCCGCTGCCCGGCCCTGGCCGCTGGGCAGTGTGTCCCTGGCTGAGCCGCCCAGGCCCAGGCCTGTCCCGCCTCCTGTGTGTGCCGGGACCGTAATGGGCACGCGGGCAGAGGCCAAGCCCCAGCTCCGTGCATCCCGGGACGAGTGACTCAGCCCCTCTCTGAAGCCCAAATGGGCCTGGCGGCATTCCCCTGGGGGCTCCTCGGGGGGAGGTGGTGAGGCCGCGGGGCTCCAGGAGCTGTGGGGTCCTGGCTGTGGGCACCAGGAGGTAGAGGGGCTTGGGAGTGTCCCGGGGGATAGCGGCTGGGGGAGCCGGGGCAGAGGGTATCCGAGAAGCCAGGAGGGAGCAGCCCGGCCTCCCTGGGACTTGGCTGAGTCCGGGCTGCTGGAGCCACCGCTGCCCAAGCCACAGGTGAGGGTGAGCCGGGGCCATCGGGACCCCGGGGTGGGCTGGGGGCTCCCAGGCGGCCCCTCCCCCAGACAGGTGGCATGTCCATTAAGCCAAGTGTTGGCTGGAGGGGCTCACATAGGGGAGCCCCGGGCCGAGCTGGGCCCAGGGGAGCCTGGGCGCTCTGGCCGGTGTCACATGAGACCCACCGGACACCCGGGGCCAAGTCTGACCCCTTTTGGAGGCCTTTGCCAGGGCCCCGCCTCCCCAGGGGACGCGAAGAGGCTTGGTCTGCCAGACCCCGCAGAGCGGGACACCTAGAAGCGTCGCCGGGGTGAGCGGGCAGCTCGTCCCAGGTGCAGTCACCTGGGTCTCGGAAGGCTGTGAGTGCCACTCCGTGGGGGTACAGAGCCCCCAGGACCCCCTGGTGCACAGTCCGCTGCTCCAGGGGGCCGTGTCCGCCCCTGCTGCTCCTTGCCCTGAGCCTGGGCAGCTGCGGGCCTGGGTTCAATTCCCAGCCCCCCACCAAGTCCACGCTGTGCGGCCTTGGGGCCGTCGCCCCCTGCCCGCGGGCCTTGGGTTCCTGCTCCAGGGCACGACTGTCGTGTGGTGCCCGGAGCCCAGCCCCTGGCAGCACCCAGTGTCTTGAGGAGAGGCTGGGCCATCCTCACAGCTGCCCCTCAGGCCCCAGGTGCACGGCCGCAGGCAGCACCCAGGACCCTGGCCCAGGGGCAGGGCCGAGGCGGCCAGGCGTGTGCTGGGTGCTGGGCTGCCGAGAGGGAACTCCTAGGACACTGCGGGTGGGCTTTGGAGGAGCCCAGGGAAGCCAGGACCCGCCCCTGAGCCTCCCATCTGCCAGCAAGGGAGGCTGGTGCAGCCCCTGGCCCCGCACTCAGGTCCCTGGGCAGGTGCCAGCACCCGGAGCCTCGGGGGTCTCGGCCTTCTGTTCCCGGGGCCACCGCAGGGAGGGGTGAGCTGGGCAGTGCGGGGAGGCAGCGGGCCTGTTGGTGCTGTGGGGTGGGCATAGGCTGCATGGGAGATGCCCCTTCTCCCCGCCGCCCGGGGGAGTCCCAGGGCCCTGAGCTTTGCAAAGGCTCTGACAAGGCATGCACTGGGTGTCCGTGAGGGCCCAGGCCTCTCCTCACCTGTGGGCGGGCAGGGCCCATGCCGGTGAGGGAGCGAGGAGCCCGCAGCACGCCTGCCCCAGGATGCACCTCCTGTGGGTGCGTCCCTGAGGCCATGGCCCCTCCCCAGCGGTCAGCAGGACCTGCCCAGGGCCTGGCAGGGGCTGCAGGTTGAACTCAAGGCCATTGCCACCAAGGCTGGTGACCAGGGGTTGGGGGCGGAAGCACAGCGTGGACCCAATGGTGCGTGGCTGGGTGGGCTTCCAGGAGGCGGTGTCAGGACTGGGGGCCTGTGCCAGGACACCCTAACCCTAACCCTAACCCTAACCCTAACCCTAACCCTAACACTGGGTGGGCTGGCACGGGGGCTGGCCAGGAGAGGAGGGTGCTGGTCCAGACTCGCTGGGGGCAGAGGTGTCATGTACAGCAGTGCAGCGGGTGAGCCACGGGGAGGGAAGAGAAGGGGGCTTCCTGGAGGAGGGGCGGTGGGAAGGGAGGGGAGGAAGTCGTCAGAGTGGGCCAGAACCAGGGACAGCCGGGCTAAGGCGGGAGGGCGGGGCACCCGGCGCTCAGGGCCCGCCACGGGTTCCCAGGCAGGTGGGGGACCCACAGCCCCGTGGAGAAGCCCCACTCCCCTCCCGGGAGGCCTCCGCCCCAGCCACCCCACTCCTGAAGGCGGTCTGTGGTAGAGCGTCATGAGGGTCTCAGTGTGGCCTCAGAGGGCTGGGGTGCGGGGCTCTGGGTGTGCCCACCTGCCCCGCCAACACCTGCCCTGCCTGGTCCTGGCCCAGGCTCAGGAGGGCCCGCCCAGACCCCAGCCCTCGCTCGGAGGCCGGCCAGGCCAGTGAGTGGTGCCAGCGGTCCCAGGGAAGCCCTGCCCCACCGTGAGGGGAAGCCCTCAGCCTGCATGTCCTCCGGCTGGAGCTGCGCCCAGCGAGGACCCTTCTCTGGTTTCCAAGTGCCTGCCTGGAGAGAACAACCCACGAGGTTCTGTGTCGCCCACTTTACAGACAAGGAGACAGGCCAAAGGGCTTCGGGGCCTCACAGTGCATTGTGGGGCTCCTGCTGGGTCCCCTCGCGGGCTCTGAGCCCTGGGGAGCTGGCCTGTGCCCGGTGCCAGCAGGTGCCAAGGGGCAGGTGGGGCAGACCCAGGCCACGTCCCAGACTCTCAGTGCCCCACCATGCGGGGCACTGCAGGCACACGTCGCCGGCCAGCTGGCTCAGGCTGTGGGGCCTGTTCTGCCAGGGCACTGGGGAGGCAGGACCGTCTCCCCCAGACCCAGGCCTGGCCAGGGGAAACTGGGCTTGGCAGCATGGCCGTGTCTGGGGGCCTGGCCTCCCCGCCCAGCTGCAGAGGGCACGAGGGACCCCATGTTGCTCATGAGGTCCACAAGGCTCCTTGGCCTGGCCAGGGCCACGGGAGGAAGTGGCAGAGCTGGACTTGAACCCAGGTCTCTGTGCCTCCCCGTCACCTGGCCCCCAGAGCCAGGCTGCCCCCAAGGGGGTAGTGCTTCCTCCTGTCTCTGCGTGTCCACCAGGGGCTACCTCGGGGTCTCGGGATAGGATCACGGAGACAGGTGAGGCGGAGGAAGGGGCGATGCCAGCCAAGAGACAGAAGGGGAGGGGGGCAGGTGTAGGAAGTCCAGGTTGAAGGCAAAGGCTGTGGTCAGGGCCAGGGCTGTGTGAGCAGGACAGGGACTCGGAACAGGGGCTGGGTCAGTGCCAGGGTGGCAGGGATCGAGGCTCAGTGCGTGGTCAGAACCAGGGCCGTGTGCTACTGAGACCACAGTCATGGCTGAGAGTGACAGGGATCGAGGCTCAGTGCATGGTCAGGACCAGGGCCATGTGTTACTGAGACCACGGTCATGGCTGAGAGTGACAGGGATCGAGGCTCAGTGCGTGGTCAGGACCAGGGCCATGTGCTACTGAGACCACAGTCATGGCTGAGAGTGACAGGGATCGAGGCTCAGTGCATGGTCAGGACCAGGGCCGTGTGCTACTGAGACCACAGTCATGGCTGAGGGTGACAGGGATCGAGGCTCAGTGTGTGGTCGGGACCAGGGCCGTGTGCTACTGAGACCACGGTCATGGCTGAGAGTGACAGGGATCGAGGCTCAGTGCATGGTCAGGACCAGGGCCGTGTGCTACTGAGACCACAGTCATGGCTGAGAGTGACAGGGATCGAGGCTCAGTGCGTGGTCAGGACCAGGGCCGTGTGTTACTGAGACCACAGTCATGGCTGAGGGTGACAGGGATCGAGGCTCAGTGCGTGGTCAGGACCAGGGCCGTGTGCTACTGAGACCGTGGTCATGGCTGAGAGTGACAGGGATCGAGGCTCAGTGTGTGGTCAGGACCAGGGCTGTGTGCTACTGAGACCACGGTCATGGCTGAGTGTGACAGGGATCAAGGCTCAGTGCATGGTCAGGACCAGGGCCGTGTGCTACTGAGACCGTGGTCATGGCTGAGTGACAGGGATCGAGGCTCAGTGCATGGTCAGGACCAGGGCCGTGTGCTACTGAGACCGTGGTCATGGCTGAGAGTGACAGGGATCGAGGCTCAGTGTGTGACCTGCATGGGGCTCTTGAAGCCGGGATCAGGTGTGCCTTGCCACCCCTCTGTCCCCGCCTGCGTGTCGTCCTGTCTGGCCCCCGGCTCCGCCGTGGCCGGCCCTGGGGTGTCGTCGTCCTGGGACCAGCTCCCAGCTCCGGAGGCAGCGTCTCATCGTGTTTGTCATTAGTCTCTGAGCGTGACAGTCGTTTGGGCCTGGTGCAGACAAGTTGGGAAACCAACAAGGGTGCAGAAGGGAATCCAAAACACGTTTTGGCACGCTGCCCCCAGCCAGCCCGCGGCCCACGTGGGTCTCTCCTCTTGACGTTCCCTGGGTGGGAGAGGGGGGACCTGATGGGGACCCCCAGGACAAAGCCCACACCACTCCCCTCGCTGCCCGACCAGGAGCCCACGGGGCTAGGACAGGACTGGGCGCTTCATCGCGAACATACCCCCCGGGGCCGGCCACTGCGGGACCCTGAGAACCAGGGCCTGGGCCTGCGGGGGGGGGGGGAGCACCCACGCTGGATTCTTCCCAGCAGCCTCCAGGGCACACCGGGAGGAGAGGCGGCCACCTGCCTGCCGCACCTGGCCCCTGGCAGGCGGGAAGGCCTTCGCTCTGGCCCCAGCACCCGTGGCCAAGCCGGGCTTCGCTCCCGGTCCCCCGAGGGGGCCCGCGGCCCAAGGCGGTCTGTGGGCGGGGCCAGGCCAGCCTGTTTACAGCAGGGAGCCGCCAGGAGGGACACAGGGCCTTCCTGTCCCCTGTCAGCGAGAGGCCACCGTGCCCTCTCCCTCCTCTCCCCAAAGGCTTCTCCTTTCTCCTGAAAAAGCCCAAAATGTCCTTATTTGGAGGGGCAGCGGCTCAGGGTGGGGGTGGGCCGTTAACCCTTCGTTTATAAACAAGGGGATAAATCAGGCCCCGTTAAACACACCCGTCAGCAGGAGCATAAACAGAGGGGCGTCTCGGCCAGCCCCCTCCCGCCCGCCAGCCCCCGCCCCCGCGCCCTGTTTATTTGACTCACACCCGGCCTCTGGCTCGGCTCCGGCTCCAGCCCGCCTGCTGCCTCCACCTCCAGGCTGGGAGAGGCCCCTCAGCCAGGGCAGGTGTGGGGAGGCAGGGGGAGCGCGGCCCAGGCCCTGCCCGCAGAACTGGTTTATCAGCCCGGGTGGGTGTGCTGGAGCTCCGAGCCCTTTATCCTAATTAGCGCCATCATCCTCCAGTGGCAACCCCATCCCCATGGTGGTAGCGGTTAGGGAACAGGGCCCAGAGAGGCTTAGGGACCGGCTGAGGATGCACAGCCCCTGGGTGGCGGGACTGTGGGATCCGAGCCAGGCCTTCGGGGCGCCTCCCGGGGCCCTGTGCCTGCTCCCCAGTGCCAGGGCTGGGCTGGGGCCCCAGGCCCGGCTGGGGCAGCAGAGGCTCGGGGCTGGGGCGCGCTGTGCCTGCTGCCCCTGCTAACCCCCTCTCCTCACTTGCAGGCCGGGGCGCGCGGGCCGCCGACATGCCCTCTGCGTCTCCCTCGGGGCCCCCGGCCGCCGCGGCCCCCAATGCCACGGTGACAGCCGGGGCGTGGGCCAACGGCAGCGCGCCCGAGGTGCCCCTGTTCCACCTGTTCGCGCTGCTGGACGAGGAGCTGCACGCCGTCTTCCCGGGCCTGTGGCTGGCGCTGATGGCGGTGCACGGCGCCATCTTCCTGGCCGGGCTGGTGCTCAACGGGCTGGCGCTGTACGTGTTCTGCTGCCGCACCCGGGCGCAGACGCCGTCGGTCATCTACACCATCAACCTGGCCGTGACCGACCTGCTGGTGGGGCTGTCGCTGCCCACGCGCTACGCCGTCTTCTACGGCGCCCGCGGCTGCCTCCGCTGCAGCTTCCCGCACGTCCTGGGCTACTTCCTCAACATGCACTGCTCCATCCTCTTCCTCACCTGCATCTGCGTGGACCGCTACCTGGCCATCGTGCAGCCCGACGGCTCTCGCCGCTGGCGCCAGCCCGCCTGCGCCAGGGCCGTGTGCGCCTGCGTGTGGCTGGCGGCCGGCGCCGTGACGCTGTCGGTGCTGGGCGTGACGGCGGGCGGCCGGCCCTGCTGCCGCATCTTCGCGCTCACCGTGCTGGAGTTCCTGCTGCCGCTGGGCGTCCTCTGCGTGTTCACCGGCCGCATCGTGTGCGCGCTGTCGCGGCCCGGCCTGCTGCGCCAGGGCCGCCAGCGCCGCGTGCGGGCCATGCAGCTGCTGCTCACCGTGCTCGTCATCTTCTTCGTCTGCTTCACGCCCTTCCACGCCCGCCAGGTGACCGTGGCGCTGTGGCCCGCCGTGCCGCACCGCGTGAGCCTCGTGGTCTACCACGTGGCCGTGACCCTGAGCAGCCTCAACAGCTGCATGGACCCCATCGTCTACTGCTTCGTCACCAGCGGCTTCCAGGCCGCCGTCCGCGGCCTCTTCCGCGGGCGCGGCGCCCAGTGCGAGCCCAGCAGTGCGGCCGCGGTCAGCGTGCACAAGAGCTCCAAGGGCTCCGGCCACCGCCACGTCCTCAGCGCCAGCCCGCGCGCCCTCACTCGAGCGCTGGCTGGCGGGCCCGAGGCGTAGGCAGCAGGGCTCTGCACCGCCGTGGGCCCCAATCGGTGTTATCTCCATCGACTGGTGATGGCTGCGCAGTGCACTGCGTTGAGACCCGCCCTGTGCTGGGGCTGATTAGCAATGTCTGCCGCGGGCTGCAGGTGGGCTGTGGAGGTCTGAGTGCTGGGGACTTTGCCGTCCCTGGGAGAGCCTGGGTGCATTGAAGGAAGAGTGGCCAGGCGCTGCTGCTCACGTGGGCCATTTTGTCCCCAGAATGAGTTCCTTGGAAAAATGGATAAAGTCTGTTAGGGACCGGGGACTCCCAAGAGGGTTAGGAAATAGCCAGGGGAGCTGGCCTGGCCGCCCCAGACGCACAGCTCACACACGCAGGAGGAAGGACCACGTCTGGGGACGCCCACATTGCACGCGTGCGTGAAGAGGGGCCCCTCCCTGCGAGACCCCTGCCCGTGGCCTCGTGGCCTGCACAGTGAGACGGCACGACACCCACTGGGTGCTTTGGAGCCTGTGCTGGCCCTGCGGGGAGAGGCTACTTTCCATCCACTTCTTGTGGATGGGACACGGGTGCCACAGCTGGGCCGTGGCGGTGTCAGCGTGAAAGCCCAGCCCCCTCCCCCCTCGCACATGGCCTTTGCCTTCCTCCCGTGGACACTGCTGGAAGCCCACACTGCAGGGTGGCCTCCGGAGGTCCTGCCTGCTGCCCCAGGCTGCCTGCAGGGCTGTGGCCGCACCCATGGATGGGAAACCAAGTGCAAGGGCAGTGACTGGACCCCCAGGCTGTCGGCCCCCATGCAGAGAGCAGAGGGGAACCCACCGGCTGACGTGGGCCTCTGGTCACCTCCGCCGAGCTGGACTCCTGGACTCCCCCGTGCCTTGGCTGCCGTGAGCTCTTTCCAGACTGGTGTTTGGGGGAGGGGGCCCGTGGTGGGCGGCCGCAGCCGCAGGGCCCTGCTCTCAGAGTCGGCCACAGAGCGGGTGACACGGAGCTGAGCTGCTGCAGAGAGAAGTCCTCGTGTCCAGGGTGACCTATGTGGCTGGGCACAGGGCTGGCCGGGGCTCCTCGGGGTGAGGGCAGAGTCCTGTCCCCACGTGCCCCGGGTGGGAGGCAGGATGGCTGTCTTGTGCCCACTTTGCTGATGAGCAAACTGAGGCTGGGGGAGTGAAGTGTGAGTCCAGCTCCTCCTACTCCAGGACCTGGGGTGGGGGCGGGGAGCCCAGGAGGCAGGGGCGCGGCCAGCAGGCTGCTGCCAGAGCTGGGACTCCCGCCCGGGCTCTCCCGCAGGCCCAGGTGCCGGAAGCGGCGGGCACTGCAGTGGTCAGTGCCTGGACCGCCCGCACCCTCGCCCCTCACTGGAGCCGGCACAGCACTGGGACCCATGCGAGACGGCCGCAGCCCACCGGAACCCAGAGGGACGGGGCCACTGGTTCCAAGAAACAGCACTGGCCCCAGGCAGCGGCCCGAGGCGGGCTTTCCCACCCAGAGGCACCCTGGACGGGCACACGTCCCCTGGGAGGAGCCACAGGTCGTGGGTCAAGTTCTGCGCTAGCCACGCCCTCCAGAGCCGCCTTGCTCCTCCAGGACCTCGACCCACTCTGAGTCGTTCACGCTCAGGGCCTGGGTCCTCCTGCTGCATCCCAGGGGGACCCGCAGCGCCCCGGCCCCTGCCCCTGCCCCTGCACCAGCCTGCCCCTCCACCTGCACTGGGACGACCACCTCTCGGGGCCGTGGCTGCGGGGCAGGGGGCGGTGGGACGGGCTGCCCTGTCTGTGCCCCCTCTCTGCCAGCCCGGCTGCCGCTCCTCCCCTCTTCGTGTCCATCAAAGATCCACCCCGGTTATCACTCTCATTTATACTAAAGAGTGGATGGCTAACACCAGCTGATGGCTGTGTTTGGAAGGATCTCTAAGGTGGGGGAGCCAAGCCCCCGCTCCCCGTCCCCAAGTCTGAAGTCCCCCATCCAACGTGGACTCCTCCGGGGCTCGAAGGCCTCTGAGACTACGGGACCCCTGGCGGGGAGGGCATCTGGGCCCAGGTGGAGCAGCTCCCCCCGCCGAAGCTGAGGGCCCAGCCGCTGTCTGCCGGGGCTGGCACTGGGCTTTGGAGAACTCCGTCTGCCAGCCCCTACACAGGACCCTGGACGGGTGGGTCTGTTCCCTGCACGCCTCGCTCTCTCTCTCGCTCTCACTCTCTCTCTCAGCCTTGTAGCTAGAGACAGGGCTGCGATAGGAGGCTCCGCTGCAGCCTCCTGCTGGGGACGGAGGTCTCCAGTCCGGCCAGGCCGGTCCCTGGTCCCCTGCGCGTGCTGCCTTCCTGGACTTCCCGCAGGCCCGGGTGACGTGTTCTGGGAGAGTATTAATAGCCCGTGTAAACAGTGTCCTCAGTGAGAAGCCCTCGTCCCCAGTAAATCCGCATGTTGCCTGCGTGCCCCCTCTCGGCTCCCAGGCTGGTGGGCTGCAGTGCCCTCTCCACCTCTCTGCCCCTGAGCCGGGCCTGGCTTGGGCGGGCAGGGTGCAGGTGCAGGGCTGCGGGTAGGGTGGGGACCCTCGTCCATCCCCACCTGCTCAGACCCCCGCTGAGGGGCCGCCTGGAGGGCGTGGGCGCCGGGGGACCCCAGAGGCAGGCTGCCTTCCAGGTCCCTGAAATTCTGCGCGGGTCTCGCCTTGCACACGGCCCGGTGAGAGGCGGGGTGGGGATGGGCGGGGAGCAGCGGCCGATGGCTCATCACTCTCGCTGTCTGGCACCCGGGCCGGAGGCGTCCAGAGGTAAATATTAGGGCTTGTTTGGATTAAACTCCATTAATAGCAGGAAACATCTCCGAGGGCGCCCGCCCGGCTTCCTGGAGGCCTGGACGCCTGGGGCCAAGGTGTGGCCAGTGTGAACTGGACGCCCTGGTCCCCACCGTCCCTGCCTGGCTGCACTGGCGACGTCCCCAGCCCTCCTAATGCCCAGGGTGGGGCTTATCCCTGCTCACAACCCCCCACCGAGGGGCCTGGGCTCCCAGTCCACAGAGGACAAACCTGAGACTGCAGATTCCTGGGACCACCCCCACCCGGAAGAGGGAGCTGGGGTTCCCCACCCAGACCCCCTGGGATCCCCACCCCAGGACAGGCACAGGGCCCAGCCACACCCTCCGGGCGGTCCTCGCCCCCACCGCAGCCCCTTCCCAGGGACCAGCCGGGGCTGAAGCAGGCCCCTGGAGTCCTGCAGTGGGGCAGGGGCTGGGGTCCCATCACCCACCGGGTCCCAGTGACACCAGGCAACTGCCCAGCCTAGGCTGGGGGCACCCTGGGGGGCTGCATGGAAGCGGAGGAGGCGCTCAGCGTCCCACCCTCTGAGGTTCCAGCCTGGAGAGTCCTCTCCCATGGTTCCCTGCTGCCCCACGGCTGGGCCAGCTCTGAAGTTGTGCCTCTCAAGTCAGGTTGGCACAGCCAAGGCTGGTTCACACCGGTGTTCCAGCTGGACACACAAGTTCACCCCAGGGACTCCACCCATGGTCCCCAGCTCAATCCCAGGTCCTGGGGGAGCCCAGTAGCCAGCATGCAGGCGCCCCAGGACTGGAGCAGCCCCCAGCACACACCCCAGGAAGGGCAGCAAGGCATGGGGGCCCGGAGACCCCAACTCCACGAGACCTTGGCCACGGCCCTGCCCTTCTCTGGGCCTCGGCTCCCTCATCTGGAACCGGGAGCTCAGAACAAATGGCGCCCGGGGCCCCGCCGTAGGAGGAGGCCTCTCCGGCTGCCCGCTCCCTGTGCCGCCCGTCACCCCTTGTCCACCACGCCTGCAGGGCCAGTACACCCAGGACTGCCCGAGGCCCCGCGGCCTGTCCCTGCCCCGGGGGCCCTCTGGTTCCCAGGGAGGCTGTCTGAGCGCCTGCGGCCCCCAGTCACACCCAGCCCAGGGGCCCGTGTGCTGGGAGGTGGACCTGGGGTTGGGGCAGAAACTGCGTGGTCACTTGTCCTGTGTCGACCGAGGACCGGACACCTCCTTGGCGTGTCACCCGTACCCTGCCCACCTTCCAGCCTCCTGGGGGGCCGTGGCCCCCAGCAGCGGTAGGCTGACCACTCTGATGACCGGGTGTTCTGCCTACCATGTAGAAGGCAGACTGCGGGCACCAGCAGGCGCCCAGGGTCCCGGGGGCAGGCGCTGCCCGTCAGAACCCGGTGCACCTGCGCAGGGGCACGGCTGGGCGGGGGGGGGGTTCTGCCTCCTCCCTGACCGCCCTGCTGCCGGCTGGCAGCCCGTGCTCTCCCTCAGGCCCTCCACCCAGGCGCCAGCCGAGCCGGTGTACCACCGGCGTGCAGACCTTGCCAGCGACCCTCGCGCCTGGGGCCTGTAGGGGTCCTCCCACCCCGCCTGCCCCATGGGCGCCCCCCCCAATCCCCTGTAGGGGTAGGGGTCGAGGGTCAGACTCTCATCCGGGCTCTGAATCCCCTGCCCCATCTGCTCTCCACAGCAGTCTCAGGGGCTGGGGGAGGTTCCCAGGCCCCTAACCCGGGAGGGCGCGGTGAGGTGGGGGCAGCCCAGCCCGCAGCAGGCGCCCCCGGCTGGGGCCCCTGCCTCTCCAGTCCTGAGCAGCAGCGACAGGACTCCCCCAGCCTGTGTCCCCGTCTGGCCAGGGGCTCACCGTGAGGTTGTGGGCGTTTGGCAAGTGCGCGTGTCTGTGTGCCGGTGCTGCTGTCAGCCTGCGTGCACGCGTGTGGGAGCCTGTAAACGTGTGTGTGCATGCCTGCGGCTGTGTGCCCACGTGTGTGCGAATCTGCACATGTGTGTACACGTCTCTGTGTGTATATGTGTGCATCTGTATATATGTGTGTGTGTGAATCTGTGTGCATGTGTGTGCGTCTATGTGTGCATCTGTGTGCCTGTGTGTGTGTGCATCTGTGTGCCTGTGTGTGTGTGCACTCAGTAGTCACTGATTAAAGCGAGCCCGGGCCTCAGTGGCGCTACCCCCAGGAAGCTGCCTGTACCTACGTTCTTCCATTCACCCTACCTGCCCTGGGCCAGGTATAGTGTGCGCCTCTGCCCCAACACCTGGCCTGGTCCTGCTCACTGCCTGCGTGGATTCTCCGTGGGGGTGGAGCTAAGGGGGCGTGTGCTGGGCGCCAGCCTGGGCCGCAGGCAAGCACCTTCCAGCTGGCCCCCGGCCCTGCAGCCGCTCTGGTCCGTCGCCAGCTGGATGGAGGCAGCTGGGACCTGGGGCCACCAGGTGGCACTGCTGAGCCGAGAGAGGCGGCCCAGCTGCCTGTCCACTGCCAGCCAGGACCATGGCTGGGGGTGGGGGGTTGGCCCCAGAGTTAACAATCCAGGAGGACTTCTGGGAGGAGTTGCAGCCGATGGACCCGCTGGGAGCAGGATGGCACCGGGTCAGGAAGGTGGAGGCCCTCGGACCCTGCTCGCCCCCACCGCTGCCCAGGCAGGGGCTTTGGGTGAGTCGGCCACAGGGGCTGAGACCGTGGCCTCGTTTCCCACGCAGCCTGGGCAGGTTCCCGCGCCCTCTGAGCTGGGACACGCAGGGCGGCCCCACCCGCCCCGGGAGCAGAGCAGAGGCTGGGACACTGGGCGGGAGGGTGGGGCCGGGCTGCTGTGCCGTCCGTCCCAGGGGGCTGGGGGGGTTCTCCAGGACAGGCATGGAGAGACGTGCGGGGGGCGGGGGGCGGTTCCCTCTGGAGGAGGAGGCTGGGCTGTGGCGTGAAGGGCCTGGGACAGCTCGGAGCAGGCGGCTGGGCCGTCTTCCCAGGTGGGGATTAGAGGGCCTGGCTCCCGGCCCCCGGCTCACCTGGGCGTGAGTGCCCTGTTTGGGGTGCGGACAGGCGTCTCCCACACTGTCCAGGGCGTGCTCAGAGGCAGGCCCTGAGCCAGGTGCCCTGAGTGACCTGGGCCGGCCTCTTCCTCTGGAGTGTGGGGCTGACCGTTCCCCGGGCTTCCCCCAGGCCCCGGCACCCGCAGGTGGTGTATACGGGGCGGGGGGTGTGAGCACATGCCAGCTTCCTGACACCCGACCAGAGGGATCCATGCCATCGCCTCCTCCCCACCGGGAGACTGAGCAAGGGCGGGACCCCCTGGGGGGGCACCGTGGGTGGCCAGCAGAGCCCACCCCACACAGTCCACTGCCCTGCACATTACAGCTCCGTCTCCTGCTGTGGAGGAGAGAGAGGTTGGGATGGCGACCGCCCGGGCCGGACAGGGGTCGGCCCTCCCGTGGGCCCTGCAGCCAGGCCTCCTGTCTCCCTGAGGCCCTGCGGGGCAGCCCACGGCCCCGGAACGCGGCCGCCTCCTCCCTCCAGGGGCGCAGGCCCCGCCCCCGCCAGCCTTGCCCCAACCTCAGAAGCTGCTCCGGCACCTGGCAGCCCAGAGATGTCAGACCTGAGCCGGGTCACGCAGCCTGGCACTGGAGCCGCTGTGTGGGCCGGAGACAGGCGCCCGCCCCAGGGCGGGGTTGCCCTGACAAGCAGCACACACGTGTGCAACCGCAGAGCACTGGCACCGGCCCCGGAGCCGGCAGCAAGGAGGCAGCTGACGGACGGCCACGAGGGGGCGGGCCGCGCGTCCCCCTGCCCACATCCGCCCACACAGCTGTCCCATCGGGGCAGGTGACAGCCTCCACCCTGGATCAGCTGAGGGCATCAGGCTGGCCTGCGGGGTGGGGTGGGCGCAGGGCCAACCCTGGCCAGCTCTGTCCAGGGCCTGGATTCCAGGGCAGCTGGGAGGAGCTCCTGGCACGGGCCCCCTGGGGTGGGCAGGGTGGCCGCTGGGCCCTCGGCCCCTGGGGGCCGGGGGAGGGGTCGTTCCCAGCATGCACCTCCTGCCAGGCTGCCCCTCGCTCCCAGCCCGCAGAGCCCCCTGCCCTGCCCCCTGGCCCCAGGCCTGTGGACCGGGGTGGCCTCGGAGCTGGTGATAGCAGCGGTGTCTGCCCGGCACCCGCAGCCTCGGAGCCGGGAGCCGGAGCCCAAGGCTCGGCCGCCTGCCTGCCGCGGGGACGGCGCTCCAGGAGCAGCTCCCAGCGGGGCCCTGAGGAACAGGTAGGAGTTCACGTCTGGGCAAAGCCCACGCGGGCATCTCTGGCAAGAGGCGGAGCAGACCAGATGCAGCCCCACAGGAGTGCAGGGCTCAGGAGAGCTGGGGCGGGGGGGGACCAGCCTGCCCAGATGCACGCGGGCGCCGGCGGCCACAGGGGCGCCCTGACTTGGTTTTGGAGGCGAGGTTATCTTTGTCCTCGCGGCTGCTTCCAGGCCAGCAGCTCGTCCTCTCCCACCCCGGCAGGCCGGCCTGGCCGCATCCCCCGCCCGCAGGCTTGCGTCTGGGGAAAGCCACGCGGGTTCCCTGACGGCGCAGGGCAGGGCTGGGTCTCCCCTGACCCCACCCCAGAGAAGCCCAGTGTGCAGAGGCCAGGTCCGGGAGATGGGACAGAGGCCGCAGGGGCCAGGCGAGGGGGCGGAGGGTGACCCCTCCTTGTCCCCGGAGCCACCTGTGCCCGTGAGCCCCCCCCCCAGCACGGTGACCGTCCTGGTGGCCTCGTTCCCCTGCTGGAACATTCGCTCTGTACCACTGGTCCTGCCAGCCTTAACCCGACACCCTTGACACCTGGGGAGGAAGCAGGGAGGGGAAGGGGGCGGGCAGGGGGCTGCAGGGCTCCTACAGAACAGACCGGCGCCCCTCTGACCCAATGCAGGACCCCTCCTCCCGCCGGCTTCCCTGCGCTGGGCCCAGAGGCCGGGCACTGTGGACAGCTTTCCTTCCTGGCTGGCAAAGCCCCCGCCCCCGTGCCCACAGCCTCTCTCCGGGCAGGGGCACGTCCTGGCAACCCGAGTCCATGGCTGTCCATGGGCCCGCCTTGCCCCCGGTGGTGGGGTGTGGGATGGGGTGGCGGGGGGAGCCTGTGGCCGTGGGGAGGCCGTGGGGAGGCCGTGGGGAGGCCAGGGGTGGATGGGCTTTGTCCCAGCACCGCCCCTGGAGCTGTCGGTGCTGAAGCAGGGCCGCCGAGGCTCCATGATGGGCGTCAGCATCGGCGGGAGTGGGGGTGAGGGCAGAAGACCCTAGAGGGCCCGGCACTGTGGCACAGCAGGTCAAGCCTCCACCACAGTGCCAGCAGCCCTTGTGGGCGCTGGTTCGTGTCCCGGCTGCTCCACTTCCGATCCAGCTCCCTGCTATGCGCCTGGGAAAGCAGAGGGGGAATGGCCCAAGTGCTTGGGCCCCCGCACAGTGAGTGGGAGACCCAGAAGACGTTCCTGGCTCCCGGCTTGGGCCTGCCCAGTCCTGGCTGCTGTGGCCATTTGGGGAGTGAACCGGCAGCTAGAGGATCTCTCTCTCCCTCTCTCTGTCTCTCCTTTCCCTGTATTTCTGCCTTTCAAATAAACAGACTTGCGAATTTCCTAGCGTGCAGTGTCCTCAGCCCCAGGGAGCAGACACCCTGGGGAGGCAGGGTTTGCAGGCTCTCACAGCCCAGGCAGGACGGGCGCCTGCAGGGGGTCTCACCGCTCACCCCCCCACACACCGCCCCAGCCAAGCCTGCGAGGCTGCCCCCAGAGCCCACTGCTCCAGGAGGCCCTCTCGGGGGGCAGGGCTCACCCTGCAGAGGCAAAGCCACTGAGTCATGTCCCAGTCCCGAGGGGAGGGTGGGCCTGGGCCGTGAGCCCCACAAGGCCGGAGTCAAACCCCAGCTCTGACACTCGGTGGCCCCGGGCAGGAGCAGCCCCAGTGTGCACCCCAGAGGAGGCCCCCCAGGGTCCGTAAGACTGACAGCTGCCAGGGGGCTGGGCCCGGAGCGCGACGCCCAGGGCTCCTGCCGGCATGGCTGGGAATGGTCTGGAACGAGACGGTGATGGCGGCTGCACAACGCTGCCGAGGCACCGAATGCCGGCAACCCGCTCGCCTCCAGCGGCCGGCGTTTGGGGATGCGATTTGCACCTCACTCGTTTTTTAGTCTATTTTAAAATGTCCTCGCGGGGCAGCCAAGGAGGACGCCGCCCCAGGTGCCCCGGGAAGAGGAAGCGGAAGCACTGGTTGTGACCCCTCGGCTCTGAGACGCCGAGGGGGAGCGTGCTGGGACCGGCCGGGCTGCGGCTGCCGGAGGAGACTGGCCACAGCCTCCGCTGCGGGGCTCGGGGTGGGGCCTGGGTGTGTCGGGGCTGGGCGGGGGAGGTCACAGCCCCTGTCACCATCCCTGGGGCTCTGGGACCGGCATGCACCTGCCCCGCTCCGCAGTGGAGGCGGGACAGGCTCTAGCCCAGGGTGACGAGCGGCCACAAGCCCACTCGCGCGCCCCGGGGTCCCCAAGGCCAGAGCTCCAGGAGCAAGGCCGGACCGGCTCCCCCTGCAAGCCTTCGCCGTGGGCACCCCTGCAGATGGTCAGCTCCACACTGTGGGGGATGCCCGGGGCCCCCTGGGGAGCTGGGCCACACGGGCCATCGGTGGTGGGGGGACTCTGACCCCTCCCACTGCCTGGGTGCCCCCAGCAAGGAGGGGCAAACGCTCAGTGCTGTGGCCGCACTGACCCTGGGCCTGCCTGCCATGCCCCCCTCCCAGGACGGCTCCTTGTCCTCCAAGGCTTGGCCGCGCCAGCCACTCAAATTAATTAGTGTTCCCGTCATCGCTGGCACAGATGAGCACATCGGGGCTGCTGCCAATGGCCACCTGCCCCCACCTCTGAGCCCCGCGGGGACGGTGCCCTGAGCCCGAGGAGCCGCCGGCCACCTGCCCCTCTTCACCCAATGTCCTTTCTTGTAGGGTCCAGGGTCTCCAGGCCTGCACTGGCTGAGACCTGCAAAGGAGGCAGGACCCCAGCGTCTGCCACCAGGTGAGCACACCCTGACCCTGGCCACCTGCGCTGGGGCCTCCAGGACCCTTGGCCCAAACAGGCCATCCCACAGAGCAGGGACCCGCGGCCCATGTAGGCCATGCAAAGGAGAGGGCAAAGGCTCTCCCGGGCCCTGGGCGGCCCCCTCTCGCCCTGGCGTGGGCAGCAGGCATGGAAGTGGGCAGGGCCGGGCGGGGTCCCCAGGTGAGGCAGGGCATGGAGGCCGGGGTGTCGGCCAGCCCCCGGCTCCCGCTCAGCCCCGTGGCCTTGGCTGTGCCCACGCTGAGCCCACCTCCTCCTTCGGGGGGGGCGGAATGGCGACTTCCACACAAGACTCGGGGTCGCTGGGGGTCACCGCAGTGGCCCCCACCCTGGCTGGCCTGGAAGCTCCTCCCACCAGGGCCCAGGGAGCTCCGAGCATTTTGCGGACGGAGAACGTGACTTGAGGCAGCTGTGAGAACGTCCTTGGGCTGTGTGCTCTCGTTGTAAACCATCAGGAAGACTGCCAGCGCGCCCTGTCTCTGAGCTCTGACGGTGCTGTTTTTAGCAGGCGTTTCGCACAAGGGCCCAGTGAGCCGGAAGCTCGGGTGGACGAGGTGGGACTCCCGTCCGATGGGGGTGCACGGTGCTCACGGCTCACAACAGGTGCAGGCAGCAGCTGCGGTGCCCCGGCCATGCTGCCGGCACGGTCACAACCGAGCTCGCCGCTGCTCCAGCTCCAAGGGCCCATGACAGCCCCTGGGCCAGCGCCACAGGAAAGGGGGCCTTCCGCTCTCCTGGGGGGCAAACAGGCCCCAGGACCTTGTGAGCCTCAGGACGTCCAGCCAAGGGCCGGTGCAGACGCACCCCTGGGGCTACCACTGAAGGCCCCCAGAGGTCACCTCGGGGCCTGGGCCACAGGGTCTGAGGGGGCCACGCGCTGGGAGCTGGTGCTCGTGGCCGCCCCTACCACGTGGGCTGGGCTGCGGCTCTGGGACACCCTGCTCGCCGTAGGGTGAGGCGGGGGTGTCGGGGTGTGTGTTGGGCTTGGCCGCCTGCAGCAGGAGTCGGGCCTGCGTCAGGCCAGGGGGACGGATACATCTCTTCCTGGCCTCCACCCGCCAACGGCACCCCAGTCATGTCCCACTTCTGCGCGGGGCCTTCACGCCTGCTGTTCCCGCTGCCTCACTTGACTTTTCGGGAACCTGACAAGCTCTTACTCACCCTTGGAGACACGCCTGGCCGAACCTTGATTGGGGAGTTTAGTTTGCCTGACTCTGAGCCTCTCTGAGCGCAGTCCCCTGCCCCACAGGTCCGTGGTGCCTCGTCCTGGCCTCCTCTCGCTTCGACCCTGCTGGGAGGGCAGCAGCTGGCGCAGGAACGAGGGTAGAACCACAACTGGTGTGGCTCCTTCCCCCAGGCCTGCCCCAACCCGGGGCCCCCACAGAGGGGCGGCTGCCCGAGGGCTCAGAGACCAGGGGAGCAGGAGGTGGGCGGCCAGGCTGACCTGGTGCCAGACACACAAGATCCCAGCAGGATCTTCCCAAGCCGCAGACGGGAAAGCTGCGGGAAGCAAGAGAACCCGCTGCAGGTCCCAGGCACGGGGGGTCAGGCCCACACCCTGTCCTGGCCCCGCGTGCCAGCACCAAGCTGGGGACCCACAGGATCGCCCTTGGCCCCGCCGCACACCTACAGGCACCCTGGCGCCCCGACCTCTCAGCTGCGTCTGCCCACACCCGGCCAGGCTGGGTCAGGGGCAGGTCAGGTGCCTTGCAAAAGGCTGAGGGAGGAGCCGTGCTCCACGGGGAGGAGGAAGCTGTGGCGTAAGCTGGGTCCAGATCCTTGCCAACGGCAGAATAAAAACAGGAGTGAGAGGGCGACGCCCGTAGGGCCGGTCCTGGGCGAGGCGCTGGCTTCCGTGCCAGCCGCACCAGCTGGAGGGGGCTGGCTGAGCCACCCAGCTCCGCAGACTGCTCTGACCCCACTCGGCCTGGGCCCTGACTGCATGCCGAGCCCTGGTGCCAGCCACACACTGGCCCTGGGCTGTGCTCACAGGCATGCTGGGCCTCGACCCTGACCTGGGTACACGCTGGGTCCTGGCCCCAGGCGCACACTCGCACTTGGTCATGGTCATGGGCTGAACCCTGACCCAGCCTCACCCTGGAGCCAGTGGTCAGCCAGCTCCATGGCCTCTTGGTCCCAACCTCTGCCCATGTAGATGCCACAGCTGTGTCCCCTGTCCAGGAGCTGAAGCATCCCTGACCCAAACCTGCAGACCCAGGGGTCCCTGGGGCTCCCTCCCTAGGGAGCTGGGCTCCCTCCGGGCTGGCCGGTGTGTTCTGGAAGAGCCACCCGGGCCTGCCGCCCCAACACCGGCAGCGGGCTGGCGGGAGAGAGTCTGAGAGCGGAGGGAGGCCGGTTCCTGCGGGACGGCTCCCGTGCACCTGCTGTGGGCTCGGCCGAGCTGGCTGCGGTGCCTCCGGCCCCGTGTGCGGGAATTCAAAGGGGACGGCGTACAGGAAGCAGGAGCGCGGGGTTCTCGGGGAGCACACCGAGCGCCAGCCCCAGGACCCAGCTGTGCGCGAGCAAGCAGCCGGAAACACAGGACACTCCCGGAGAAAAAGCCCTCGCCCAGGAAGAGCCCCACAAAGGACACAGCCCCACAAGGCCAGCCCTTCCCTTCACACCCGCCAGAGGCGTAGCTGGTGATGCCTGGGCGGGGCCCGATGGAATATTCATAAGGGGCGGGGCTGGGGGCGGGGCTGGGGGCGGGGCTCGGTCACTGCCCCTGTTAGGATCTACCAGAAGCGTGGTGGCATTGGGAGCGTGATGGGAGGGGCGTGCCCCCCGTGGTAACTCTACCCCACGACCTGAGGGTCATCTGGGAGCCACCCCGCAGCCCTGTCAGATGTTTCCAGCCAGCGCTGGCTCCAAGTCCCCGACCCTGTGGTCCTTGAGGTTTCCGCCCCTTGGAAAGCGCGGGAGAGAGAAGGGGCTTGGATGGTGCAGGGAACGGGACTTGCCAGGAGGGCGGGGCCAGGCTGTCACAGGGGCCAGCCCGGAGCTGTCAATCACTGACCATGGACCTCTCTTCCCACGGCTTTCGGGGCCCGAGGGGAGGCAGGCGCGCAGACTGGCCGATGCCCAAGGACACGCTCCCTGCGGGCTGTGCGTGGCACTGGGCCGGAGGTGGTGGTCACACAGAACAGGCCGGAGCTGTGAGGGCAAAGGGGGCAGGTGTGCAGGCGACCCCAGCGGTCCCCAGGAGGCTGGAGCAACTGGGACAGCAAGGGCCCGGAGGACCTGCGGCCCAGAGACCAGGGAGGGGACGGTGGCAGGTGGCAGTGAGCAGGGGGCCTGGAAGCAGCGCCTGGGAGCCATGGCTGCCCGCTGTGGAGACTGCGGCTGGCTGGGGGCTGGGCAGAGGGCCTGAGCCGAGCCCTGGTGTGTGGGCAGGAAGTCTGGGAGGCAGGGGGGGTGTGCCCGTGCACCCTCTGCTGCACCGTTAGCCCCCTACCCCCAACACCCCCTGCTGGCCAGGGCATCTTCCCCAGGCCTCTGGCCCCAAACTTTGCTTCTCCCACTCCCTTTACCTTTCCCTCCTTCCTGTCCACCAAACCCCTCCCAGTCGCCAGTCCTCCTCCAGGCAGCCCTACCACCTCCTCCCGCCACGTGGGGTTCCCGGTCGTGGCAGAGGCTGTGGGCCCTGCTAACTGCTCCTCCCCCATGTCTGTCCAGCACCCACGGCAGCCGTGGGGCCAGGGGCACGGGCCTGTGAATACTGGAGGGACGGGTGATGCCCTACCACACACCCGGGAAGGCGTGGGGTGGCCCTGTTATGCCAGGAGGAAACCAAGGCAGGATGCTAACAACGTGCCCTTGGTCCCAGAGGGGACTTCTGTATCTGAGAGGGACCGAGGCCTGCCCCGGGCCTCTATAAACGCCTTTGAGGGGTGCAGCTCATGGCTGGCTGGGGGTGACCCCAGCCCCTGCTCCTCAACCCAGATGTTCCTCTGCCCGTGGCCTCGCCGCCCCTCCTCCTCTCAACTCCACCCTCGCCCCCTCCCCCAACAGCCCATAGGTGCACCTGCTGGCTCCCGCCCTCACCCCCTCCCCTGACAGCCCATGGGTACACCTGCTGGCTCCCACCCTCGCCCCCTCCCCCGACAGCCCATAGGTGCACCTGCTGGCTCCCGCCCTCGCCCCCTCCCCCGACAGCCCATAAGTACACCTGCTGGCTCCTGCCCTCACCCTCTCCCCCGACAGCCCATAGGTGCACCTGCTGGCTCCTGCCCTCACCCTCTCCCCCGACAGCCCATAGGTGCACCTGCTGGCTCCCGCCCTCGCCCCCTCCCCCGACAGCCCATAGGTACACCTGCTGGCCCCTGCCCTCACCCCCTCCCCCAACAGCCCATCAGTACACCTGCTGGCTCCCGCCCTCGCCCCCTCCCCCAACAGCCCATAGGTGCACCTGCTGGCTCCCTGATGGGCCCAGCTGCCTAGATCTCCCACGTTAGGTCCAGGGAGGGCCTGGTGGGCTCTTCCCTCTTTGTCAGGAGCTCTCCTCTGGCCGCTACAGAGACTGGAAAGTGGGTGATGACATCCAGGCACCCGGAGCCAGCCCCTCTGGCTGAGCTGCCCGCTGCCCTCCTGGCCTGTGCCTGCCAGATGCTGTCCACCCCCCGCCACCTCCACCTGGCGCCCACAGCCTGGCCTGGGAGCTGCTTCCTCGGGGGCAGGGGTGGCCACACAGGCTGGGCTTCCGGGGGCGGGCCCCTCTCGGTCAGTTTTGTTAGCTAAGAGCTGTGCAAGGCAGGTTTCTTGTCTGGTGTTGAAGACGCCCAGGTGCCACGCTGGAGGACCTGGGGCGCGTTCCCGGCTGTGGCTCCAGGCGCCAGCCTCCCGCTAACGCAGACCCTCAGAGGCCTTGGGAAGGCTCGGTATCTGGGTCCCTGCTACCCACATGGAAAACCTTGGTTGAGTGCCTGGCTCCTGGCTTCAGCCCAGCCTGGAATTTGGAGAGTAAGCCGGCCTGTGTGTGGGAGCTCTGCCTGCCTCCCTGTCTGGCTCTCTCTCTGCCTCGCAAATACATTTTAGGAGAGAGAGGCTGGCTAGCTAATAAATAAAGGAGCTAATGACCTGCTTGGCCACAGCCACTGCACCTCCCCCGGGGCGGAGTCTGCACCTGCCGAGAGCAGGTGTGAGTGAGTGAACACTGAGTGCCTGACCCCGGAGAGTAGGGGTGAGGGTCACAGAGGATTCAGGGGAGGAGACCCTGCACTGGACGGAGAGGGCGGGCAGGGAGGGCTTCGTGGAGGCAGCGAGGCCGCCAGTCCGGTCACAGCCTGAGAGAGGGGGCGGGGCATAGGCGACTGTCCGTACCAGGGATCACAGGGGGGACAGCGCAGGGGCCCCCGCCACCACAGGTCCTCCCAGCAGCATTAGAGCGTGAGCTGGGGACGACAGGAGGGCTCCCGGCCCAGTCATCACCCCTCCCACCCCTGCCACCAGCGGCGCAACCGCAGGCAACTTACCCAACCTCCCTGGTGTGTACGTGGGAGGATTCGGCTCCTGCGTGAACAGGAACTGCAAAGCGGAAGCTCAGAGCCAGGCCTGTGCCGCAGGACCCTTGGCCAAGCGTCCACTGCCGGCAGCCAGACTGCTGCGGCCCAGAGCACTGCGACTGCGGTGGGGGTAACCTCTGGTACTGCGGCCGCCGGCAGGGTCAGGGGGTCTCAGGCTG